TATTTGATGCAGAACACCTGATTGTGCTGCAAATAGTTTGAAATGGTTATTTTAAAAAAACACCTTGGCTGCATTTTAGGTAAATGGCTACATATAACTTTGTTGTTTGCAAAACTTGTGCATAGGTTTTTAAAATCTACAATTTCTAATTGAATTTGAAGTTATGAAAATGATTCATTAAACATGTTTGCGGTTGTTACAGTAAAAAAATACAACTTTTTTTCTACTAGGAATTTATGTTTTTTGTCTGATTTTAGATCAATTGTGTTAATACAGTATGTCAAGATGAAAAAATAACTGTAAGTTTAGACATGTGAGGTTGTGCTGAAAAGAATGATACCAAACAAGGCAAGATAGTTTTTAAACATGAAAAGTAGTCAAAAACAGCCAATTATACCCTAAAGTTACTTTACCTAGTAATTAGTTCGTTTTAGAATATTGTAACTCAGTTACTAACTCGGTTACTTTTTTTGAAGAAGTAACTAGTAACTAGAAGTAACTAGTTTTCAAAGTAACTTGCCCAACACTGATACAAATATAGCAAGAGCCAGGAAATGATCTCGGAACATAATATCAAGCTTGAAGACGCCGGAAAAAATGTCCTTTAAGAAGAGAAAAGACAAATCTCTCAAGGTTCTTGCACCCAGCCTAGCCCATATAAAGAAAGTGTTATTCAGTTGTGATCTGTATGTTTGATTTGGCAATGATTTAAGCTAGATGCCCTTTCTGATGCAACCCTTGGCATTTATCCAGGCTTGGGATTGGTACTCGGAGTATACTGGCTCCCCATGGCTGGATTAGATGAGAAGGTGAATAACACCTTATTTACTTGCCCCACACTGGGACAACATTGAGTTTACTGGCAAGACTGTGACCTAAAAAAAACCCCAGTTTGCTCTCAATCTTTGCAGCTTTTGGGGGCAGTTGTAAGAAAAATAGCTGGGCCTGATGAAGTAGTGGAGAGAGTAGGCATGAGTCAAGAATGACTCGTTTTTCATCTAACAAATGAGGGGTGTTGGTCAAAAAGTAAACGCCATCAAAGTTGATGAAAAATGAGATTTTATTACTTAATATTTCAGCCTCTTGAGGGCCGCGCTGCTTACACAGACAGTCATGTTTGCCTTCGCCAAAGGTCCTGCCTTTGGCTGCACGTGTCAATTTTAGAAGCTTAAGGAGGAAGAGAAAGAGCAGACAGGAAAAGGATGAGGAAATGGAGAAGACAAGGCTGCATGACAGGAAGGAATAACAAAAAAGAGACTAATCCACTTAATGACAGGGAGTGACAGAGTGACTCTTAATCTTTTGTAGGCGAAAGCACCCTCCAGAGCAGAAGTTGTCACCTTGACCCATTCTTTGTCCTCCCGTCTATCCCTCTTTCTCACGTTACCCCTAATCTCTCATTCCTTCTCTTCATTTCTGTCATCCTCCCCTCCCTCCTCCTCCTCCTCCTCTTTTGCCCTATGTGCTGTGCAAATGGGCCGACACAGACTGCGTGCAACACGTTGATCCTTTGCAGCTTTTTATTGTTGCTCAACAATCACTCCCTCCCTGTCATCGCTTCATCCACCAGGAGTGGCACGCTGACATTTGGGCCAGCATTTCAGGTTGACTTCACGGGCCTGTGAAAAGCATATACACCTAAAACAACCTCTGACATGCACAAAGTAATCAATTTCAGGTAATAATGTGTTCCTGTTGATGATATCCGGCAAGAGAATGATTACATTTCCAACTGCTGGCGTGCGCACTTCCATATTAGTGTGGAAACTACCCATTGTTGCCTCTCAGCAGAGCAGGAAGCACCTTTCACAACAAACCTACCCTCCTTATACCGATTAAATCCAGTGCAGCTGCCGTAGCATCTGATTACTTCAGTCTATTTGGCAATGACAAGAAGGCAGTGGAGCAGTTTACTTATTAGCTTTAGATCATTTTGGCAAAAGTTAGAAATAACTAATATTTAATGTTTGAATGTTTCGATAAATGAGCATAGTAGTCCGCTCCACAGCCTTTGATTTGGCTACTTTTTAATGCTACTGTTTTTCATGTGTACCTCAGAATAAAGCGGAAGTCTTACATGTGTGTGTGAACCAAACTTACTCTAGGAAAATCACAGCCCCCAAAAACAATATCAAACACAATAGGCTTGCTGGTATTTCCCACAAGCGTCTGGCATGCAATAAATTTTGCCACTTCTAAAGAATCTCGGCCAACCTGCGAGGAAATGCCTTAAAGCTCTGTGGAAAAATAATCTCTTCGACTCTCTAGGAATAAAAAATAACTTCTAAGGGCAGGACAAGCTCAAAGTGTAGACTCTGCGGAGCTGTTTCTCAAGCCCAACAAGGAAAATTCATGAGAAGTGCAGTGCTGATGGCTGATGATGGGCCACCATCCTGGCCATTATTTCCTGGCTGGGGTCCACGAGGCCACCGAGAAACAGAACGCAGTGAACTCCCTTCTTCTTCTCTCTCAGCATTCTGGCTCTCCCGCCTGCGATCAGGCCCGGGAATAGCAGCTATGTGAGCATGACTGCACGACACTATTTCTGTGCGCTCTGCTACTTGACATTGAGAGGCCGGGATTAGGTGGCCCCCCACTACTGTAAATGAATAGCTCCCGTCACTCACACACGCACACAAACACATGTGTGTGCTTTGTAAATACACATATGAATCCCCCTGAACATAAAAAAATGTGACTGAGAAACTGGAGTTTTCTGCACATTTTCACCTTCCTGTAAACGCCACGTGAGGATGATGAAAGCTGAAGTGCTGTTTTTCAGTGTCTCAACAAGCGGTATGAAGAAAGTTGCATTCTGAATCAGGTACCACGCCCTCGGTGGTTCAGTTGAACATCTGTCAGCCACCACCACCTCCCCACCACCCCCTTGTGCGAACATGAGCTACCCACAGTATGCTGCTTATTCAGTCTATATGGAACGTATGGGAATCAGACCCACAAACGGTGCTGAAAAAGATCACATAACAAACATGCATGTTTTGCTGTGGATTCTTTTCTTGGTAATGGTTCGGTTAACCCTTCAACCCACTCAGAGTCAACTCTGAAGCATGACTGTACCACATTCCCACTTACACAGACACACACACTGCCAGTGTAACAACATCTGTGTAGGAGGTGACTTCAAGGGAGTGACTAACATTTGGCGGGGCCTCAACCTGCCTTTGAGTCCAGCTGGGTCTTTAGACCGTCCTTACCTCCATTAAACCTGTGTGCGGCATACATGACAGCATTGCTGCATCCTGCTATTTGCTCTATGTGGTCTCTCTGAATACTGTGGTATTCGGGGGCTGGTCGAGGCCTCAGATGTTGTGCTCAATCGCGTGTCTTTGAGTGCGACATCTGTTTCAGCTGCGTGAGTAATGGTGTGTGAGGCAGTGGCTAAACATCAGGTGTCTGCCGTCTTGCACATCTCAGATCTGTTGCCTTTCTCCTCCCCCCCCCCACAGCTGGAATGAGTCCTGTATGTATCATGATTGATCTGTCAGTGAGTCTGACGATGCTGTTGTCATCACATAAAAAAACGACTAACGTCTTCACTTTCCTCACGGCTCGCTTAGACAGTCTGGCATCAGTTATTTGTTGAATTGTAAACAGTGGCACGCACAGATAACCCCAATTACATATAATAACTGAGGAAGGATTTTTGATTCAAGATCTATGAGCACTGGCTAAAAATAATAACAGCACCAATGTGCAGGATACAGGTGTCTCAGTTTAAAGCGACTGCTCACACGCCAGAGACGGGAAATAAAAACATGATGTTTGCTTTAATTGCAGATCCTGAACGAGCTAGAAGAGCAACAGCGGTGTTATCGTTATTAAGACAGGCATTAATGCACGGTCCAACTCAGGAAGCAAATGAATGACTATAAGTTTGGAATAATAAAGATTTAACCCTGCGATAGACTAGCTATCTGTCCAGGGTGTACCCGCCTCTTGCCCTGTGACATCTGGGATTGGCTCCAGCCCCACCATGATCCTGAATCAGATAAGAAAGCGGGTGGATGGATGGATGGATGGATGGATGGATTGAGAAATAACAGAGAAACTCCAGAACTCACATATTGAGATGTTTATTTATTTATTTTTTATTCTGCTCTGAAAAGAAAATCACAAATATAAATCACTTCAAAATTGCAGGATTTGAATGGATAAAGCACTTGAATTCACATTGTTTTTCCTTTTTTCTTGACAGCTTAACAGTTTCTCCTCTAACAATGATAAGACATAAACACAACATATTTATACCCAATTCTTTCTACAGTGCATTTCATATGTGACTCCCTTCTAAAAAAAAGAAAAGAAAGAAATACAGATGTTGAGAGCACAGTTCTTGTGGTGCTTATAATCAGTACATAGCAGTGTGCCTAATGATCAGCGTTACCTCTGAAACTGAAACCTAACGTGAAGTAACGGTCCCCGAACCTGCAGGATAAAGCCGGGTGGGGGGGGATGGGAGAGAGTAGGGCTTTGCCCTCCCTCATTACCAATACTGATGTGCCTTTGAGCAATTCACTGAACCCACATTGGAGCCACTTAGTGGCTGACAGAAGAGACTGGTTGCCCCAGGGGCAGTTTCCAGGTGTGACTATGAGTAATCGTGAGTGTGGTCAGTGTTGGAAATCATCTGAACCATTGGATCATTAAAAATAATATCAAATAAAATAAAATCCCGCGTATTCAATGATCAATTTATTAACCACAGTGCTATTGATCATCTAGTGAGTGCCAGAATTAAAGTTTATGCCATATTTTTCATGAAATACTGAGCTTTTGCTTCGTTTGCTTCTGTTTCATAAATAAATAGCCTCGAATAAGAAATATAAAAACACTTTTTTTTGTTTTATTTTAAAAACTGCTAAAAGGTGGTTAAAAATCTCCATAAATACAGTTAGCTTAAATAAATAAATTAAAATTATAAATATACCGTTTACTGTACACACACAAGAAAAAACAAATCAACAAAAAAACAAAACAAAAACAAAAAAAAACACATGACGGCATTGAGCAGGAAAATACAAAATGTTGTCTTTTGAGAGAAAGAGAATCCAGATTGAGCTCTGATTGTTGTTAAAAATCTCAAATAATTTCAGAGACAGAGTCAAGACGCATTCCTCCTTCTTCCCGTTCCTCGTCGCCTGATTCTCGACACACCTCCTCTGAGCGGTTTAATATTCCAGTTCCAGACCGGGAGTTTCTTCTTCTGAAGCCATCAGGAATACATTCACGTGCCCACTCTTTATTTGAACGGCCAGCAGAACATTGGGCAGACGTCCTTCTGTTCTCTTCTTTGCGTACGTTCAATTTATTTTCCTTTTCTTTTCCTCCGGGACCTCCTGTTGCTGTTCACTTTTCATTTTCAGCTGAGGTAGAATTTCTACATCTTTGCCTAAAATTTAAAAAAAAAGGGGGGGGGGGAATGAGTGAAATCTAGTCGCACTTGATAGCGGCTGATGTCAGTCAGTGTACGTGTTTGTAGCCCTTTCCCTAACCACTCACCTCTCTTTGTTGCTTCAGTGGTTGGATGCTGACCCTAGCTTCACCTTCTCCTCATTCTCTACATCATACTCTCCCCGCTTGTGAAACCTGGAATAAACGAAAGGAAAGGAAGCTCGTTCAGTCTTCTACGTATCGCCTCGTTATTAGCTAAGATCCTAACCTGTGCATGGCTGCGAGTGCGTGCCGGGCGTGTGTTTCGCTCACCTGAGCATTAACAAAAGTCCGATGATGGTGAGGCACAGAGACGACAGCACCACCGCCACCACCGCCAGAGCTGTGGTGCGGTCGTAGCCCTCTCGGGACTGCGATGGCAGCAGGATAAACTGACACCTATCGCCGGAGTAATTATGGTGGCACCTGCGAAGAGGACGGTGAAGGGAAAACGGTTAATAATTGATCGACTTGAGGTGCGCATGATGTGCAGGTAAACAGAGAGCTAAATACTCACACGCATGATGGTTCACGGAGGTCTTTCAGGTAAGTGCAGGTCCCGTGAATGCAGTAATCTTTGTACTTCTTCAGGCAAGGATTCCTCTTCCTTCCTTTTCCTTTTCCCCTCTTCTTTCCCTTTCCTCTCGTTGTTTTTCCCTCAGTGTTTTCAGCTTCCAGGATGGTAGAAGGATCTTTGGGTTTGCTTGACATGGCAACTAAAGTGAGAAAAAAAAAACAAGACCAACAATTACATGTACTGTCTTTTTTAAAAGCCACTTAAAAGCACCAATTTAAGACATTTTTTAAGTGCCTTACCTCTTGGCAGTTGCAGTTCATAGTCTCCAGATGTGCCATCTTCATACTCTTCATAATAGTAGTAGTCATCATCGTACTCCTCCGCCTCGCCATCCTTGCTGTAATCTGCGGTTGTCGCCCTCACGCCCCGGTTCTCCTCCTCCTCTGCTCTCCTGTCTCTGGTTGTGTCCAGGAGGCTGATAACAGAGGTGTGCTGCTGCTTGTTGCTCTGGTAACGGTCTACTGCAGCACCGCTGGCCAGTCTGGACATCACTGAAGGAGCAGGAAAATCAAACGTTATGAATGAGGTCCTCTTTTGAACATATATACACCACAAAAACAAACAACAAAAATCACAATCAGAAAACTCTTCCTCTAGGGGACAACCAGCAGACAGGTTAGTGCACCAAGCTGGGTGAGCCTTCTTGGGCAAATTGAAACATGTTGTACAGGAAGAAGCTTCAGGCAGGATTTTTTAGGGATGCAGTAATTACCCTGCTGTTCTCTCTTAGGAAATACACCGGATCAGACATTGTCCTTAGGGATTGATTGAGTCAATGCCCAGCTCAGGATGCACTCAAAAGGACGCCAAAACCATGTCCTCAAATTCGTGGACATTGAGATATCGGCCTGGCACACAGCCTTCCCCCCTCTGTCTCTCATAACACACGCACAAAATGCATGGGCAGACAGTTAGCTAATGTCAGGCAAGAATATGGGTTAAAAATAAATGTATCCAGTTACATAAAGCATGCTCTAAAATAAGAGAGATGACCCCATTAGCTCCTGAATAGGCTGGCATCATGAAAACTGTTGCCTAAAAGATTAAGTTTACACGACATGTTATAGCTCGGTTATTATAGAGAGGATTACACTGACAGCCAAGAAAGACAGACACACACACACGCACGCACGCTAAGTGATCCATTAATGAACACAGAAGAAACACTGGTTAAGTTGCACAGGCACATGAAACGTACCCAACGCGTGAGCCAGCAACAGCGCAACAGCGAAAATCCTCATGGCTTCCAGTAGCTTTAAGTAGAAAAATTATTTAAATTAACAAAAAAAATATCAAAAAATCTAAAAGTTATATTCCGTCCACCTCTCAGTATTCCTTCCTTTTTTTTAATATGCTTTTTCTTTTTTGTTAATAGAACTCCTCTCTTCTCCTCGCGTCCCTGCTGCCGCTGTCTTCTCTCCAGAAAGACTGGCGACTGAAGCTCACGAGCCTTTTAGCCTAGATAGATATCCCCGCCTCCTGGGTGTTGCCAATAACCACAAGAGCATGTTGCGGCAATTAATTCGTATTTTAACTCAAATTATCCATCATGTTACTTGGTACTCCCAAAGATAGAAAATAAAATGCAAAAACTGTCGGGAAATTAAAAGAAACAGGAAACTGAAACTTAATTTTTTTAAAAACAAACAAACTAATCCTTGGTTCCTTTTGTACATATTGACTCATTCTTTCTGTCTGAGTGCCGTCATAGACTTTGGTTGTGTTTAATCCAGGTAAATCCGATGGTTAAAGCAGTCACAGATTTAAAGTATGCGTGTCACAGAATCAGAAGTCCAAATATTAAGTAAGATACATTAACAGTCCATACTTACATTTAAGCAAGATAATTCAACAGCGAAGCTGTTGAAGAGGAGGACAGGAAACGTAGTAATACATGACAAAATATACAACTCTGCAGTAAAAACTGGAGATCCGATGATGGGCTTCACTTTGGGCTTCACTTTGGCTCCAAGCTGGTCTCTGGGAGTTTAAGTGTTGCGCCTTTAACGGGTACGAAATGTGAGCGCCACCACGTGGTCAAGGATTACACTACACTGTTTTACTGTTTAGGTTCAGGTAGTTACCAGAGTTAGAAACAAGCGAAATTAACTATTTATTTGAAAAATGTTTAACTTTGACTTTTTTATCAGCTTTACAGTTAGTCGTGTTTTCAAAATTTCACAACAGACATTTCAATACAAACACCACTTCTTGAAGGGCAGCTGGTTCACAGTAATGTAGACCTCCCAAATCTAAATAAAGAAAGGCTACAAAGCATCATCAGGCCACTGTGATGCCAAAGGTTACTAAAACTTTAGGCCTTTCGTGTGCGTTTCTATTTTCACTTTGTTTTGTGATAACACACGTTCTTTTCAGTTATCTCCCTGCCTTCCCCTCTTGTTTTTTTTTTTATTTCAGGTAACTGCAATCAACTACAATGTTTTTCCACACAGACTTGGGTAATTTGAGAAGCGAGGTGATGAGGTGGTTAAAACTGTCAACTCACAACGTGAAGGTTCTTGGTTCCCAGGGCTTCTTGTCTGTCTTACTTCTCTCCATGTACTCCAGCTTCTTCCGCAGTCCACAGATGTGCAATTTAGGGTTAATTGATGTTTCTAAATCGACCATGGATAAGTGTATAGCATAGTGCTGCATAAATGTATGTTTCAAATTGCTTTGAATGGTCAGTAAGTCTAGAAAAGTGTTGTATAAATGCAAGTGCATTACATTACATAGAGGAGTAATGGTAGATTTTCTAAGTGCAAAAGGAAGGACGGCAAGCTCCTAATACGTTTATTCACTGCCAGTTGATCTTTTTACTACTGGTGTCATGCAGTTCTGAGGTAACAACAATTATTCACAAGAAAATTATCTTTTGATTGCAATGTGAAATTCTCCCTTCAGCTCTCAAGTGCAAAAAATACCATCAATAGGTTAATAGCACAAGTGCTTCAACTGGATTAAAGTATAGTCTGACTTCATGGATGGCTGTGTTAACAACATTCTTAGAATTAATAATTAAAGTTGGAGTCAATTTAAAGCAACACAAAACTGATCAAATAAAGATAAAATAGATACACAATACATCAGTATCACAGCTTTTGATGTTATTACTACTGCTGGTTTTCTAGAGATTTATGGGCTTTACTTCTAAGTGCATATTCTTACGATTCCCGTCACAAAGCTTAACTACGTTGTAGTGTGTGTTGAGGTCACATGTAGGTCGGCTGCTCACTATGGGGTAATGAATATGTCTGCCCTTGTACTTTTAGGCATAGACTAACTCTGGTGTGACCGTAGACAATAAATCTGGTGCGCCAGAATGTCATACTAATGAGATTCTTTTAAATACACGCACAGTGATGATGCAAGTCTGATCAGAAACCGTTTATTTCCAGGCCAGGGAGCAGAGAAACAATTCTAAAAACATAATGAAATTATCACCGAGCCAAGATAAAACAATTCTAAAACTGGTAAAAATGCAATTTTCTGTATGCACTAAAAATCCCACCCAGTCCCACAACCCAGGACGAAGGTTCGTTATGGGTTCACAGGCCAGAAATTCCTCTTGCGGAGCTGCGTGCATGGCAGCCTCGTCCCAGGCAGACGAGGATGAGCCTGCTATCCCCTTCTCGTCCCTTTACTGGGCCCATCACATCCCAGCTCAGCTCGCATTCTGCACTGAGTCCGTTGCTCGATCGCCTCCCCTCGCGTCATCGCCCTGTAAGTAAACAAATAGGGGCCACAACCATCGTCCTGGAAGCTGCCCTGGCTTATAGCCATGGCGACCCTCTCCCAACACGGCTGCACCCGGTGAACAACAGTGGAGACGCTACTCACAAATGCTGTCAATCACAGGCGTTGTCTCCTATTGTCGCCGTTCCTGCTGTCGGGACTGCGTCGCTACGTCACGCTCACCTGTCCGTCTCCAGATGAGGCGCCGCACCCCCGCGATCAGGCAGTGATTTATTTATTTATTTATTTATTAATGAATGAATGAATGAATGAATGAATGAATGAATGAATGACCTGGTCTTCTTGTGTTCCTTTTCATATCGTGTGCCTCTGTCATCCCAAGCCCCAGTCAGCTTCCTTTTAAAGGGTTCCTTAAACAGCTGATAGGCCACACCCATATCTCAGGTGATCACTATCAGCTAATTTGTCCCATGCCCAGCCAGTCCACAGTGGATTAAAACAATGTCAAATAAGCCACTAAAAACCATGCAATACAAACAGAATAAAATCATACAAATTAAAACTAAACTCACAAATAAAGACTAAAAAAACAGAATAAAACCAATATAAAAGATAAATACAAATTTCCTCTGTGTGACATGAACATTCAATCTTAAGTAACATGACTTTTTCTTCTTCTCTATCTTCTTCTGTCATCTGCTTCCTTCCGCTTCCACAGCAAATGATCTGCACCCATCTCACTCCATCCTTACCATCCTCCTCTGTCAGCCCTCTGCATCTCCTCCTTCACTACATCCACAAACCTCCTCTAAGGTCTTCCTCGTTTCTCTTTTATTCTTTCCTGCCTGGCAGCTGCATTTAGCATCCTTTGTCCCATATGTCCACTATCCCTTCTCCAAACCATCTCAGCCTGCCTCTCTAACTCTGTCTTCAACCCTCTCAACTCAAGGTGTCCCTCGAAAGTAATTGTTTGTCCCTACTGGTCACTCCCAATGAAAATCTTTATCTTTAGTTCTGGCTCCTGTCCTGTGACCCACACGAACCCAACACACTAACCTGAAAGGCAAAACTAAAATTTCATTGACTGTGAATAAATAAAAACGCGATCTTTAGTTATTAGATATTTGTCAGTCCGCCACTCTCCAGCCAAGTCCAACAGGTGGCAGTGATTTAACTCCAGTGTGTTTTGCTAACCGCCAATGAATCAAAAGTAAAAGAACGTCAGGCCTCACAAGCGTCGCTTATTGGTTTAAGGCGATCACGTGAATTATACGCGAGAAAGGGGGACGGGGGGAGGGCAAACATGGCTGACGAAGCAGGGGAAGTAAACACAGCTGTTACAGAGCGCGACGAAAAACAAGAACAAGATGAGCCCAAAGTTTTACGACCAGCGACTAATGGCGAACCGGATGGGGGCAGCGAGCAGGACTGGACCGAGAGACAGGCTCCCCAGGTCGCAGAGGAGAACAGCTGGTCGGCTCCTCTCCTGTCTCTGGCTCGTAAGGCCACAGAGACGATTAGCAGCGGGATCAGCTACGCTGCCATCCAGAGAAAGCCCTCACAGGGATCCGCGGCGAGCTCCCCGACCGAGAATGAGGCCGAAAGTGACCTCAGTAACTCAGCGAAAAAGCTTCCAGGTAGACTTTGGTTTTTCTGATGCCTGCTAGTTAATGCACTTTAAGATCGAACCATTGCAGCTGTCACAGGCACTTGAAACACTGTATAAGTGTCAGCTGTCACATCACATGACTCCAAGATCAGACTCTTGGTTTTTTTGGTTAGTGAAGTGCTCCTTTTCCGGCTATGTCATCTGACAGAATTAACCTCAGAGCTTCTCCTTTTTTTCATGCTTTCTGTACAGTTGTTCCCCCCAAAGACTCAATGGCAATAGAAAGATCCAACCTGCTCAGCATGCTGAAGCTCAGCATCAGAGTGTTGATTCAGTCTTCTATGAGTCTGGGCAGGACGCTTGACTCGGAGTACCCTCCTCTGCAGCAGTTTTTTGTTGTCCTGGAGCACTGCCTCAAACACGGTCTTAAAGGTTAGACGTAAATAAATCTGACTTTTGCTGTTGTGCTATATTTAGCTGCCTGCATGCTGAAGTTAATTCTGCATGTTGTCTGATTCAGCCAAGAAATCCTTCATTGGTTACAACAAGTCTATATGGGGACCACTGGAGCTGGTAGAAAAGTTATGCACGGAGTCTGTCAACATCGCCACCAGTGCCAGAGACATGCCTGGCATTAAGTATGCCATTATATTATTTCTATAATAAAACTGCATCACAACTGAGTTTAATTGTACTTATACTGTCATTCTTGTTTTTGTTTTTCTTAGGACCGGTTTGGGGAGAGGAAGGGCTTGGCTGCATTTGGCGCTTATGCAGAAGAAAGTAGCCGACTATATGAAGGCCCTGCTGGACCACAAAGACCTCCTGAGGTCAGTTACACTTGTTTTATAGTGCATTATAAACATGGGTTTCTTCCTAGCATCCACTTTACCTTTTAAATCCCTTAGTGAGTTTTATGACTCTGGAGCACTGATGTTGGAAGACGAAGGGTCGGTAATGGTGGGGCTGCTGGTGGGCCTCAACGTGATTGATGCTAACCTTTGCATTAAAGGGGAGGACCTTGATTCACAGGTTAGTGATGCTGTTTTGTAAGAATCAGTTTCACTCTGAGGAAGAGTTGGATCGAGACACAGAGTGATCTGCTCTTCT